GACATGTCATGGGGTTGTTAACCAATGTCTTAAAACAATATGTGTACTGACTGTTTAATGAGAAACTATTTGTTCTGTAAACCTTCACCTAAAGTACAATTTAAAAAAAAAATGTGCAGGCCCTTGATTCAGCAATGCTGTTTCTAGGATTCTAACCTTAGAAAACAATCATGGATGTACATAAAAATTTTAATTGCAAAGATGTTCACTACAAGATTATTTATAATAGTTAAAAAGTGGAAGCAATCTAAATGTCCAATAATTGGTTAAATGGTGGTCTATCCATACAGTGGGATATGCTGTAACATTTTCAAATGTACTTTCTGGTACTACTGTATTTCTTAATAATAATAGCAAACACATAGCTTGATATATCTCATTTAATCCTCACAACCTCAGGGACTCTACGTCAAATCCTGAAAAGGGCAAGGGGCCCACTCAGGAGCCAATCTTACCATTGCCCAGAGCCTGGGGCAAAGGACAATGTATCCTGGGGTTCAGACCCCAGCTGCTCCCTCGGCCCCTGGTACAGCCCTACTGGGCATGTGTCTCCAGCCCTTCTGGTCATCTCTCCCCAGGTGGACTAATAGAACAGCTCCTCGCTCAGGCAAAGAGCTTTAGAACTCATGAAACATGCTCACAACCATGACCTTCTAGGGTAGGCAGGGCCCAACATCCCCACTGAACAGATGGAAAGGTTGAGGCCCAGGGGCGATAAAAGATGTGCCCAAGGTCATACAGCAAGACCATGGCAGAGCCAGAATTAGAACCAAGATTTCTTGCTTCCCAGGCCAGGAAATTTCCAAGGCCGTGGAGCTTTAGATAGCCCCAGACAAGTGCCAAGTGCTAAGCCCCTGGACTTCATGCTGTCTTGGCAAGAAAGTGTGGCTATGACCTAGGGCACAGCTTCTTTTCCTGTCTGTAGTGTCCAAAGTCCATGCTGCCCATAAAGAAATCACCCAGGCGGCATGGTGCCAAGTGGAATAAAGAGTGCCTGGATGGCATGATTTCTGGGGAGGTTCTTCATCCTTGAATTTATCTTCCAGCCTATTTTCTGGGAGAGGCAGACAATAGGGGAAATGTTTGAAAATATAATAAAGAGACCATTATTAGAACTTCATGGTACTGGATTAAAATAGAAAAAAATGATCAAAGGAATGAGGTAGAGTCACTGTAGCCCCCAGGCCTTGCTCTTGCTGTTCCCTTTGCCTGGAGAGCCCTCCCACCTCCAGTCAACATACACACTCATACACGCACATACACGTACACGCACATACCACACACAGACACACACCACACCACACACACCACACACACCTCCACCACACACAGCACACACACACAGACATACATACACACACACCACACCACACACACACACATATACCATACACACACATGCCCACACACCACATAACACACACGCACACACCTCTGGACTTATCTCTGTAACTCAGCTCTGGTCTGGCTTCATTTCTGCCTGAAACCCCTGTCAGATTCCCATCCTCCCAAGATAAAGTCATCCTTGTTGCTGTGGCCTCTGTAAAGCTGATATACATCGAGTGTCCAAGAAAGGTTCAAAGGATGAATAAATAAATGGTCCTTCACCATCTCCTCCCAGACCTCACACACCTGCAGCTCCGCCTCGTGACCTGCTCCCAGTCCCACCTCAGGACTCCTTGCCTTGCACATGCTGGGTCCTCTGCCTCAAATTCCCTTCCCTTGTTTTCAGCCTTGCAAATGGCTCCTTCTCCTTCCAGACCCAGCTCAGGGAAGTCTTCCCACTGCCTTCCCAGCCCGAGTTACACCTCTGACTGCTGGGTTTCGTTTCTATCGTTCTGTCCTTACTTCTCTATTGCAGAGTTTGCCTCCTCACACTGTTGTTTCCTACTAGCCTGCTGGCTTCCCTCGGCGGGCTGGGACTACCTCGAGGGCAGGGGCAAGGTCTGGTTCTGGATAAAAGCAAATGCCTTGGGACCAGGGCCCTGAATTTGAGTCTCTACCAGTTACTAGCCATGTGACTTTGGTCAGGTTATTTAGTCTCATGGTACTTCTGTATCCTCATCTGTAAAATGGGAATGATGTAGATCAGGTTCCTAGAAGTAGAACCCAAGATGAGGATTCTTGAAAATATGCTTATTGAGGGGGTAAGGGAAGAAGGGCAGGGTAGAAGAAGAAGCTTCTGATGTGAAGTTTAGGAACTTCTACTCCGGTTCGCAAGGAGAGGACACTCATACTCAGCTCTCCACTCTTAATGGGAAGAGTCCCCTCGAACATGGTGCCCTGCTTACAACAAACCACAGCTGTGGTGTGAAGGATTGCTTTTATATGGTCTTTCTTGCCATCGTCTTATAACTCCCACCAAATGACTGGGTGGAACTATGCAGATAAGGTGATTGTAGCCCATGAAGGGGATTGGATAGCTTAATAATAATGCAAATAAGGTGCACAGCAACTTGTGGGGGTGGGACCATGCAAATAAGGTGTATGGACCCTAATGAGGGGATTAGTTGGTTTTACCATCCTGCTAGGCTTAAAATGAGCCATCCCAGAGGCAGAAAGGGCAGACCTCATTACCACCAAGAAAGAAGAGCTAGGAGTGCAGCACATCCTTTGGACCTGGGATCCCTGCGCTGAGAACCTCCTAAACCCAGGAAACAAAGAGAGATAGCTGTAATGCCGGACATGGCGAGAGATGGTGAGAAGCAGAGGCAGGAAAATGACAGCAGCAGAGGCAGCAGAATCAGGAGGCCAGCAGGAGATGGTGTGGTGGGCTTCCTGGCTCATACAGCGCGAGAGCTGACTGCCTTCGGGCCAAGGCTTCCTGGCAGAGTAAGGTGCCCCCAGGCACTTATTGGTGGATCTAAAGAGCTTTGTAACACTTGCCCTAGTAGGACAGAGGCCTGGCTGAGTGGTCAAGGGGCCAGGGGCCAGAAAGAAGTCTGCCTGTGGACACGGCCTAGAAAAGCTTGTCCTGCTTGAAAAACTGTATTCTGAGTCATTTCTGGTTCTGAATTATAACCTGTTACTTCCCTAATAAACCCCATAACTGTGAGTATGGTCTGTGAGTTCTTTGTGGCCACTGCAAGAAATTATTGAGCCCAGCAGAGAAGTATGGTACTATTTGTCTTAAAAATACACTATTTGTCTCAAAAATACAACAACAATACTATATTTTTTTCCATTGGGGTATTATAGCTTGGTTTTATATTTATAACTTAGAAGTTAAGAGCCAGGCTGTCTAGTTTGGGATTTATCTTTCCACCATTTGCAGGCT